CAACATCCTCAACCATGGCATCATGTTGAAATGTAGGGTCACAGAATATCTATACATCATCAGGTCCTGGACTGGCAGAGCGCTTCTGATCAAGCAGCACCTTTTTTACCTTCTGTGGGGTAAAAACAATATTTTCAAGTGTAGGTCCTGACCGTCCGGCTGCGGGAAGTTGTGGTATAATTGTTGTATCTTCGTGTATAAATACTCTGTCAAATTGATTGCTGAATATTTCCCCCACTCTTCGTGGTTCAGACTCAAGATGGATGTCTGAATCTCTTAAGACAAAGTTTTTAAGCCTAGGTTGAAGCGTACCGTTATTGATATACTGGTAGAACCTTCTTGGACCCTGCTCTAGGAGACTACACTCAAAAGTCGACCGAGCATTTCTTAATGTTTGAGTGATTCGGTTTTTTAGCACATTGTATGCCCGTAGGCCAGAACCTCTGTATAAATGCCATGCTTTTCTTTTTTAAACCAAAAAAGAAAAGCATGGCATTTATACAGAAGTTCAATTTAACATGAGCTCTAGTAATCCATGGTTTTCTAAAAGTCTCCACTTGACGCTGAAGAGGCACATAGACTTCTGAATTCTGCCATGCTTTTCTTTTTTAAACCAAAAAAGAAAAGCATGGCATTTATACAGAGGTTCAATTTAACATGAGCTCTAGTAATCCATGGTTTTCTAAAAGTCTCCACTTGACGCTGAAGAGCCACATAGACTTCTGAATTCTGCCATGCTTTTCTTTTTTAAACCAAAAAAGAGGTACGTATTTATGTGTAGGTATCTTTATAGTGAAAAATAAAACCATATAAATATTTATTGTATTTTCAAGTTACAATTTTCATACTCAATAAATGCCTCAACAATAACACTAAAAAACTGAAAAAAATTAACACAATATCAAATATACCATACTCTTAAACTTAACCTTATTGAACAACAGTACATACCTACCTAATATAACAAAAAAAATGAAGGAAAAGTGAAGAAAAATTCCAACCTAAAAAAAATATACAGAAATAGATAGGTATTCTACAAACATAATAATATAGAGAATTGTAAAGGGGCATAAACCAGAAAAAGTTTCACACAGTAATAATATTGGTTAAAAGTATTATTATACACACAAAATACATAGTAAATTGGTATAGCCAAGCCGCGAAGCTGCCAAGCTAAACACTTAAACCACAGTTTCGGCGTTGCTGCAATCAATACAAAATGGTTCTCGCGTCACTTGATTTGGCAAAAAAAAACAAAAATAAAAGAAAACAAAACCTCACAGTCCTCACACCACTCTACAAACAGACTACAAACGAGCTACAAACACAAGAGGTAAAAAGGCAAAATCAAACAGGAACAACTCAAGCACGGCGTCATATCAAAATGATGAGCCCTGCCAGTGTTGCCAGATGTCAAATTCAAAATTATCAGAAGAAGTTTGTGTCAATTTTTTTGACTTTCATCTCTAATCTCTATTTATATTTTTCTAACGAAAAAGAAACGGTGCTGCGAGCTCAACTCATTTCTAGCTGGTAAATGTTTGGTGTGCGCCCAGCAGTACGTCAAAACCACCAACCAAATAATTTTTTAATTTTCAACTAAAAATTTTAAAAATATGCATTGAAATTGTAGTTTCAATAATTTATGGTAGATTTAGCTTCTGATTATTGAATATTGAATCGTAGTCAAAATTATGGTAGATTTCGATAATTATCGGGTCATTGGCAACACTGCACCCAGTGCACACTGCACCCTGCCGTAGCCAAGCGACCGAAACGGCGGCGTCCCTTGTTTTCCACTCATTGGTTTATTTCTTGGTTCATTTCATGTTTATTTTAAACATTCGACCATTTATTTAGTTCAGGTACCTAAATGAACTATAAATCCTTGATTATATGACCTGCCTCACAAAACATTTATAATGACAATGTATTCTTATTTATTTAAGTTTAGATTTAAGGTTTAATAATAGGAATCCACGTCAGCCTGCATTTGGTTCACATACATTTGGTTTAGTAGGGTTTAGAGGTTAATTTGGAAGGCTTCCGTATATTCTGCTCGGAAATTGCATATTATTTAAAAATATATTATGATCAGGAATTGATAAAAAAAATCATGAATAGATGGGAATGATCCAGCTCGTCTTGTATTGTTCGTCTTTGAAACGAACATGTACGTCTTCTACAAGACGTACGCAATATAGATTTTCACGTACGTTCTTAGTACGTACTTTTTTGTCCGTATGTTAATACAGCTTTTTACGTACGTACTCAAAACGTACTTTTACATCCCGGACGAACCGACGTAAAAAGGACCTAAAATGTACGTCTTCAGTACGTACTGTGTTTGTTGGGCAGTAATATGATCGGTCTTACCTATTGGGGGTGCAGACGTAATACTTGTCACCAACCTTTTATCTGATACCAAGAACAAGTCAAGTTATAAGGGGACAGTTACCCTCCCGAAAACGAGTATTAAAGTCGATTAACTGATGCAGTCTTGATTCCTGGTAGGCCAGTATAAATTCTTCAGCAGGAACACTATAACGTTTAGTCACTTTACCGGTAGACCAATCTATTCCAGGATAATTAAAATCGCCATAAATTATTGTGGTAGAAGAATCGTTTAGCCTGTTTAGCATATCCACAATCAAGTGGTTATCCTCAGACAAACATCCACTTAGTCCCCACTAATATACCCCACCAGCAGCCGGACAGCACCAAACCTCAGGTCGACAAAAACACTATCCACCACAGTTAGCCCAACATTATATTATTCTTGCCTCCACCTTTATTTATTTACGCATGGTCATTTATGGTTGTGCGATTCTTTCTGAATAATGCGTAGCCATGTATACCAATCAAAGAGTCTGGTATGTGTGTGTTCAACCATGTTTCAGTGATAAAAATTAAGTCTGGCTTTTTGTCTAGAATTTCAATGACAAATTCATCAAACTTGGACATGATAGAACATAAATTGGTACACAACATTAATATGGAGGAGTAGGTTTGGGCATTTAGTTTTTCGAGTGGTCAGTACTGAGAACATGTACCCAAGATGGTCTAACCTTAATTATTTTTGGAAGACCACTGAAGTATTTTAAGGTTATCTTTCCCTTGGTTAACTCTTTCTTGCATTTCTGTTAACAGTTGCTTGTGGTTCGCTGCAGGCTTGTTTGGTCATACTTTATATACATATTGCTCTCTTTAGGTAGATTATTTTTGTTATGAAGCACTTTACGAGCTTCCTCCTTTGAGGGAAAAATCACCATGATTGGCCTTCTTTTCTCTGGATTGTAGATTTTTACCCTGACAGCCTTAAGGTTACCTTTGGCAGTATCTCTGCTGACACAATCCAGTACCCCCTCAACTATTTTCACGTCATTTGCTTTTCTTTCATCAACATTGTTACTCCTGGACTCCTCAGCCCCAAATATAAAAACATTCAATGCTCTAACCTCCCTTTCCTGCCATTCTATCAGTGTAGGTTGCACTCCCTGCGACTGCTGATTTCCAGAGACTGTATGCACAACTAGGGTTGTAATCTTGTTGTTCAACTCTCGAACATTAGTTATTAAAACTTAAAGCTTTTGTTTCTTCCTTCAGGTTGGAAACGATATCAACATATAGCTTGGAGCACTAGAGGATGAGTTTTTCAGATCTTGAATGTCCATTTGCATTTTTACTAGTTCTGTTTTGATATCAGCTATGTTTGATACTTCATTGGCTAGTATCTTTAGATCCTTGATCTCTGTCTCAATCTATTGTTTCACTGCAGGTGTCGCAAAAAAAGAGCATTGTCCTATTTGCCAGAAGAACTGCTCGAATTTCAGTGCTTGTTATTTTTGAACAATTTCTGCATATTATATTTTTACAACAGTCACAGGGACAGCCAAAAACTTTATCATCTTCTCCGAAGAAGAATAGACACTTTTACATTTAAAGCATTCCATCGACTACTCCTGAAATGTTTTGAAAAACTTGTCCAGTTGTATTTTGAATTATATCAGAGGCTGAATGGATTTCAAAACTCAACCTTTTGTATCTGTATAATCCAACATGGGTTGAAAACGTTGTTATGTACTTACGTGGATTGTTGTGTTAGGCTAAGTTGATGGTATCCATTCTTCAATCGAGTTTCCTGAACATTTTGGAACCATTCAGTTGTGTTATCAGTTGGTGTTAAATGACGTTCCCTCATAATTGCTTTATTAGGGTTCCTCATGTCAACGCATCTTCTGATATTTTTAAGATGTCCTTGTTTGGGACCAATAAAATTTGGTGAGACCCATGGAGTTGGTCCTTCAACTCTTTATTATGTTTTGTTCTTCAAGGCTATTTATTTCCTATTCAACTGATTTTCTTACATGAAATGGTGTTTCTATACTATGGCTGGAACATTTGGATCAATGTGAAGCTCAATTTGGATGTTTTTCAAATTTCCAACGCCATTTGTTAGCTCAGGATAATTTTTTTCTAGATATTCCAAGTTTATGTTACTGTTTAGGAATTTTGTGCTTATGGAAACAATTTTTAGGTTTCTTGAAGCTTGGTAAAATAAAAGTAATTCAGATTCACCCTTTATAACAAGAATCACAGTCTGAATTGAGTTGTTTTTATACTCCATAATTACTGAAAAATTTCTTATACTTAACTTGTAAATGTTCTAAGTTGTAATATGGAAAAATTTTGCTTGTATCAGCAAATTCTGAGCTGAAATCGAATTTTCGCTAAATTCTGGTTTCAGATTTGTAATTTTTTTGGTGTTTCTTTGTAGAACTTCATACGAAAACTGGAAAAAGATGGAAACAGAAAGAAAAATTCCCAGTTTCTCTTCATTCTTTTCTTTTCAAAATTTTCTATCATCATGCAATAATTTCTCGATATTGGAAAGGGTTGGGAAAAAATTGGAAAGAAACAGCATTCGCCAATACATTTCAGGATTTTGGAATTCTTGGTCCATTTTCATTGAAATATTGTTTTACAAAATGTTTTCTTACCTTATGTTGCCTTTATTTGTGCTGTACTTGATATGGTTACACAAAGCCTCAAACATACCGCTGGTAGTAGTGACGTAACGACAATCGAATACCTGAAACCAATTAAATGTGTTTTTTAATGAAGGAAAATTATTTTAATAATTGCGAGACTCTCATTAAAACTTCATAATACAAAAAAGGCTTTCAGATTTTCAGGCGTATTATCTTACTTAGACCACAAGAGGCAGGAGCATACACCAACTCAGCTACAATAGACAATGGAATTAGGATTAAGGTTGGGAAAACTTGGCCTAAACTTAAAAATATAAAACTAGTTTATAAATGTCACACTTTTTTAAACCATTTAGAAATATTTCCCAATAAAATTTTGATGGCAGTTTTTATTGGAATCTCTAATAAATTTGCACTTCCTGGTAAATCCTAACGATAATTACTCTATAACATATTTCAATTTCGCAGTTTTCAAATCGCCATAGCTAATTGGTTCTCCCCCTAAGCGCGTTTAAACTCCATTTGCCTTTTTATTACAATTTGTCCATTTAATTTCGACTTGAAGTATTTTTCAGCGAAATGCAGTAAATACGAAATTGCACTTGGAAATGGTAAATTAGAACTGAATCCATCATCTTATCACCTTTTTAATGTGAACATGGAGAAATTGAAATTTTAACATTTTTGTTCGAAGTATACCCTTGAAGATATGATTTTCTGAAAACTCTGGAAAATCATATCTTTAGTTGTATCATAGATAGGAATCTGAAATTTTCAGAGAATCTTTTTCCAGTGAACTACAAAACCTCAGCTCATTTGGATTTCTAATTCCAGAGAAACAGTCCCGCTAAGGAATGAGGAGGAAATGTCATTTTCCAGCTTTTCAGCTATTCTTTTTGGCTTCAATTTTCAATGATTCACATTAGGGAGTTTTTCCGTTGAAGAATTCTGGTGCATTATTGGAAAGAGAACAAGAAGCAACACATAAATAAGATAAATTATGTACCTACATTTCACAATACTAAGGTATTCACGAGCTTTTAATGAAATTTGTGCGACATGTAAACGAGGAAAATTAGTTTGAACGTTAAATTAATAGCAATAATTATCTCAGCCTGAGAAATTAGAATCATTATCTCAAGTTACCTACTCAATATTATAAAGTACAATTTGCAATACAAAGTCAGTGTGAATTAAATTACCAGAACTCAATTATGGATTTGCAAGTGAGAATCTATCATAATCAAGAAAAGTATTACACGGTTCCACCTACGGCTCTTTAGATATATAAACACAAGAAAAATATGTGTCATTAGTTTAAAAAAACTGGACCTTAACTAAGGCCTGAATTGGTTTCATTTACTCAATAGCTTTTCTTTTACGGCCTAATAAAGGTAAACTAAAACTCGCCAGAGATAAAAGTATAAATTTTCTCTAAAGTTCTCGACTCCTAAAACTGGATCATAAACTGACTGACAACAATATAAACTCCAAAACCCTCTACTCTAATAATAAGAATAATTGTTCTTGGCTTGTATTTCTCTTCTATAGCAGGAAAATATTGTTTTTATCAACTAGAGCGGAAAGTTGTTTTGTGACTCTATAAAAGTTGAACATTTTGTGCGCAATTTTCAATTCTTACCTGTAGTTTGGACCATTGTATGCGTCCGATACACCTGACCGAGTTTCTCCAGGCCAATTTGGCACCGTAAATAAGTTCGGTTTCAGTTAACTGATAAGTGCCCGTTGTCGTCACTTCCTTCTGAACTTGTTCCCATCGCGATAAGTGAGCGGGAGTTTGGGCTCTGGAACAAAACGGTAAAATCATCATAATATTTCGGTAACTTTGAAAGGAAAATTTCCATTTTTATACAAAAGAAAATGTTATTGTTATAAAGTATATAGGAAAGTTTAAAATTCTATAGTTTTAGGCAAATGATCTCAAATTGGTGACGTTTTCTAGATAACTAAATCACTCCCTACAAGCTCAGGTTACAATGAAACAAACGCTACATACCTTCAACAAAAGGGCAAATACAAAAATGTACACATTTTAAAGTCCGGTTTATTTTCCCACCAAAATTGTATATAGCGTTTCTAGTTTCGGTATCCCGTTTCGGAAAGATTGAAAAGGACTTCATAAAGTTTCGTTTTCAATTTACGCTGCACTCCCCCAACGTTGCTTTGAAATAAAATTTCTAGCGTTGCTCGTTTATCAAAATGGAAATGTTTATTCGGGTGTTTTATTGGAGTTAAAATTGTCGCCGGGTCAGGTTTGCAATTCAAACGGAGTTGGATTTTTCAGGAATTTTGAACCAAAATTGCAATAAAAAAAAATTGTCAGTTGAAGAAAACGTGCCCCAACTGCTAGATAAGTTATGAGAAATCCATATCGCCCACCTGAACACGATATTTTAGAGAAAGTTTTCAAAGTGCAGTGAATTTCATACTTAAAACGTCGTAAACAAATTTGTAGTTTCATATCAAAGGATTAAATTACCTTATGTAGTGCTAGAATACATATTTTGGTATTAATTGCATCTACTAAACTATATCTTTTCTAGTGACATTAATGGTAAAAAGTAAAGTAAGCATAGAGTTACGAAACAAGAAGCTAAAGTTACAAAATTATTACCAGGCATTCCTTAACTATGTTAAAGTTGGATGCTATAGGGAAATTCTCAACTTGGAATTTGTGTTCACTGAAAAATGCGCCGTTTTAAAAAAAGTGATAATTTTAAATTATCGAACACTGACATTGTTTTACTCTTTTAGTTAGCAGAATAATGAAAAGGCCAAGGATTTGATTAACATTTTTTGAAAGTGATTTTACTGAGAAGCTATTCTTCGTAAATCTTTCTCATCTTAGATGTACTTCAGATTTTGTAAGTTCAAGATACACCTATAATGGTAGGATTAAACATTGCTCTGGATTTGAGAAATAAAAACTAAATTCAGCAAATCACAAAATACGTGATTTACAATTATAGGAATTTGTTGCTTTGTGAACACAAACGAATATTAAAACTGCTATTTGAAAACTGCATTTTTATAATAAAAACTGAAGCGATAGTGCAATATCTGTAGATTCCAAATCTCATATTGCTCTGGATCAAACAAACAAAAATACAAAAATTGGTCTTCCCGGATATGGATAGTTCCAAAAAAAACCAGACACCTCCGGCAAAATTAAATGGCGGACAGTAGTGGACTATAGGAAAGTTGTTACGATAAATTTATCATTTACGTAACATATTCCATCGCTTCTTATTTTTATTATTATTTTTTTTCATTTCAGAATCAGCAAAATAATAATTCCTAATAAAAATATTCATAAAGTTCAAAATAATATAAGTGCTGCCATCTATCCATCATGTGCGTAAAATGCAAATATCTAGAATTCATTTACCAGTTCTGCCATCTAGTACCTGATGGATTTATTTTTCAAAGTATGATTTTAATTATTTCGCATCTGACAGTCATTTGTATTTTCATTCACAGAAATTGTATTTATCTCACTTTTAGCAAATGGATATATTTCTGTCTTTCTCTAACCTCTGATTCTGAAATAATCATTTTTTGACTTAATGACCTAATTAATTAACAGTTTTTTATTTTTGACATAGCCTTAATTTAAATTATTATAATTTGTGAACAATTGAAATAATTCTAGTGGATTTTTATCTATTCTCTTTTATTCCTCGTGGGTTTTCATTGTGATTTCATTGTGAAGTGAATATGATCTTTTGGGTGTACTCGTCTGATTGGTTGAACTGGTTAAGATGCAGTTAAGTATAAAAAAAAAAACACAGGATCGTTTTCCTGTGGGTTTTGGTTTCTAAAACGTTCTCTTTCCTCGACAGAAGTCTAGCAGGCGAGTCCTTTTTATTTTTAATAATTTTTGCTCCTAATTTTTGGATTCTCCCTTATAAATTTTTCAATATATTTTGCTATCAATTCATATTATCATATCATTGTTGAGTTTTTACCTATTCTTGAAATATAAATATTATATTTAAATTTTTTTATCTAATTGTTGGCTTCCATTTTGTGTGAGTGCTGATTGGTAGTGCCACGTTTATCTGAGGTAAGTCAATTCAGATTTTTGGGACTTAAATAGGTACTGCTGTTCTGGTTTTCAGAATGAATTGTTAGTGTGGGAATATTTGGCCATTTGCTCTAAGTAGAGTCGGTGAAAACCAAATATGTGTGTCCATCCCTATCAACACTTTATTGAATCCAAGCAAAGGCCTGAATAGCCATTTTCTGTTTGACTCCGTTAATTATTATTTCGACTAAAGGGTGTAATTTTCTAATAGAAATCCAGACAGGTCAAGAATTCAGAAAAAAGTTTAAATTAGAACATCTCAAGAATTTTGACATATTCTGAATTTGATTAATTTCAACCCCATGTTTATCTTGTAGTATCTATAGTAGCTAACTTAATTTGAAAGGAAAATTTTGTTTATTTGGGGGAGAATCCAAAGATTTAATTTCTTATTGTTTTACCTCATTTTGTTCATATTTTTGTCCGCCAGAGTAACTGTCAGGAAAGCAGCATTTTGCTCAATCATAACGAGCATTTTAATTTAATCTTGTTATTATTTTAATTTTATTATTATCTTACCATTATTCTTAATTATTTAATTGAATTTTTTTTATATTAAAATATTTTTTTATTTTTCAATTTGCAATAGCTGATTCTGTTGAAGGGGAGTGTCTGTACAACAATAGTTTTCTATTAAATTGCAATGTCAATTATTTTTGCAAGATACTCACTTTTTGACAGAATTCAGGGATTTATTATTCCAAATATTGGTGAACCTGATACTGCCCTATTCTTTTCTGGGTACCTACTCGATATAAAGATCACTGTTGGGAGTCTGGATCAGCTGGAGTGACGTCACCCCAGCAATCTATCCTCTTCCTGGACACAGGAAACAACACGAAGAGCTCCAGTTCACGAAAATGAAACCCCAACACCCATTGAAGAGCTCCGGATTGGAAAGGTATATGGTATCAGATTCACCGGAAAAACCAAGCTGCCAACACTAAAATTTTACAGTAACATTTACTGTTACTCTATGTTACATGTAACTTTGTTATTCATTTGCACATAAAGGGATTACAGGTTATCTTAATTTTTGTAAATCTACGAACCTAAAGTTTGTTTCACCAGGGTTTGTACTTGCCACCAGCATTTGTCTTCCTTGTTTAACAAATAAAAATTGACTGAAACAAATCAATAACGTCAAAAACGTTCGTCGGCTCTTAAACCAGACGTCATTCATTTTAATTTGTCAAAAAAATTGAATGTGTCATATGAATTAATCTACGACAACCCTTTTTTGTCAAGTTTCAAGGTCAAGTATGAACCCTGGTGAAACGAACTGTAGGTAGGTTATCTTGTCTCAAAGTAACAAATATTAATTTCATTTGTAACAAAGTAAACCAGAAAACTATCAACGAATAACCAGTTCCAAACATAACAGACATCTTGGAGAAACTTGATAGATGTCAGTTCTCTATGGATGTCAGTACTTCACGACCTTATTGGATCTGACCAGTGGTTTTCATCAAATCGAAATGGGTAACGAAAATATATGCAAAACTGCTTTCAATATCGAAAATAGCCATTAAGAGTATGTACGGATGCCGTTTGGCCTAAAAAACGGTCCAGGTACGTTCCAGAAGGTAATGGATAACGTTTTAAACGGCCTCTAAGGAGAAAATTGGACGATATCATTGTGTTCAGCACGTCACTCCAAGAGCATCTCGTTTTATCTTCCAAAAATCTTTCAACGGCTCAGAGAAACTGGATTCAAAATTCAAATGGACAAATACGAGTTCCTGAAAAAGGAAGTTGCCTTTCTTGGACATATTGTAACACTAGAAGGAATAAGACCAAATCCAACAAAAATTAAAATATTTAACCTAAAAGAACCTATTTATCCAATACCTAGAACCACGAAGGAAATCCAAGGATTTCTAGGCCTCCTTGGATATTACAGGAAGTTTATCAAGGACTGTATTAGAACTTGCAAAAATTTACTGACAAATCAACCTCTTCTGCAATATCCAGACTTCAGCAAGTCTTTCAATCTAACTTCTCATGTTAACAACTATGCAATTGGAGCTATACTATCCCAAGAACCAATCGGCAGCGATAACCCAGCAAACACACTACATATATAAAACGTCAATGTTATGTCATATTTACGTCCATATGACCTATTCAGAACATTTAGAACGTACATAAGACGTACATTTTTGTCTCTTTCATTTGGTTCTTAATAGGTACATAATTAGGTCTTCAAGATGTATTATGAACGTACTTTATGGCTCTAAGTTGTACATTTTCAAGACGTATTATAGAGATGACAGACGTACTTGACTCTTAAATCGAAATCTTACAGACGTACAGTATATCATGACGTTACATCTTATGTAAGGGAAAATGGGGTAAGAAGAAGGATGGGGTAAGATGACTAACACCGAAATTTTATATTGAAATTTATTATTTTATTTGTACATTTGGCAATATCTAAGGCGTAAGATGTAGTGTTAAGAAGCCCTTATTGTCGCAGCAGTTTTTAGTTCAACGTACACGAGGTCGAATTGTTTTTCACAATTTAGGTTGGTCAATTTAGTGGTTTTGCCTGTTAATGAGTAAGTAAGATTTTCAAAATTTTTACAAATGATATATTGGTATTGAGAGTGAACAACCACTGCTTGGATGTATCGATATTTTCTTGTTTAAATTTAGAAATAATAACAAAGTTATTGGTGCATCTGGGGCAAGATG